ATCAAAAAACTTACTAAATAAATCAAGATTAAGGTATGCTAATAGTCAAAAAACTGAAGAAGAGTCTCAAACTCTTAGTCACTGCCAAGTCAGAGTCCAAGTGATTGTTGAAGAAGGTTGTTGCAGAAGGATTTGTATTTTTCTATTTGTGGAGCAATAATTTGCAAATTGAGGCTTTTAATTTTAATGGAGAAATTTGAAAAAGAATAAGATTAATTAAGTTGACTATTATGTATTAGCACTAAACTATAACTGAATTGAAAAGGAAGAAGATAAAAGTAAAAATAAAGCAATTTTCTATTAAGTATAAATTACGTTGTATTCATTCAAAGAACTAAAATAAAAGGGAGGAGAAAAAACTAAGAACTACAATAAAAGGGAGGAGAAAAAGCTAGAGAGGGTTTCGAACCCACATCTTCTATCAAAGGAGGGACTTTAAGTCCCCACAGCAACCACTTCTCCTGTCAGCTTTTTTGTGCTTGGGGACACAAGTAAAATATTTAAGAGGCCCCATATATATGTACATATATATATAACATGTATATACATGATTTTTGCCGACGCTAACGGGGTCCCGTGACCCATCAACCTAAAATGTAGGTCCGCCTCTGATGATAAGAGATGAATAGTATATAGACATAGAAATAGTAGAAGGTGATTCGAAGGTACTGCAAATCGATCATACAACTCTACCTTAAGTCTCCAAACAAAGCCCAATATCATGACCCAAATTTAACTAAGTCATGATACAACCTAACCTAACCTGCCGGCTGAACCAATCAACACCAACACAAGTTAGGTCGAAGAAAATCTTTTAGTAAATGATAAAGAGAAAATGCGGAAATTAAATACAAACTACTCCAAAAATTATTGTCATGAATTATGAGCAACTAAGAGTAGATTCATAGTGCTGATACAAAAAAAAATACACCATATGCTTGAGTATATTTAAACATAAATATATATGAAGTGACTTCTATCTCGATTTATCATATCTCATGCATGTATGTGCAACTATCTAGCCGGTCGTCTTTAGCTTTTGAATTTTGTTATGTACTTTTGAGGCCGTGAATAGCTTTATATGATGCATTATGAGTTGTGTGTATGGTAAGTTTTAACTTTTGAGAGGTTAGTGACTGATTTGGAAGAGTAATTCTCAATTTGGAAGCTTTAAGTTAGAAGAGTTGACCAAGGTTCGACAGTAAATGACCTCAAGTTGGTGATTTCATGATTCCAATAGGGTTTTATGGCTAATTTGGACTTGGGCGTTTATTAGGATTTGTATATGGATGTTTCTAGATGGTTTTAGCTCTATTTGTCGAAAGCTGGCAATTTCAAAAAATTGGAATATTCATAGGTTTGATTGAAAGTTGAGTTCGGTGTTATCTGACCTTTACTATGGTTTTTGATACCATTATTAGGTTCATTTAGTTGATTGGAACTAACTTTTAAAGTTTTGTTGTGGCTTGGAGTGTCTAAGTCTGATTCAAACGAGTTCGGCGAAGTTGAAATGTTAGAAAGTTAAGAGAATAATTTCGATCTATAATTTTTGGTTTTGAAGTTATTTGTAGTACTTTGCAACTTTGGATAAGTTTGGATAATGTATTTAGACTTGTTGGTATAATTGGACGCGAGGCTCTGGTGTGATTCTCGGTTATTTCAGACAATTTTGGTTGAGTTTGGAGTTGATGATGTGCTGGTGTGTTGCACTGCATCGCCATCGCGGAGCAAGGCTCATGATTGCGGAGAAGGATTTTGCCGCTTGGAATTTGTGTATCCTGTTCGCAGGAACGAGCTCACGTTCGCGGAGTATTGGGGGTGCTGGCTATCGCTTTCGCTCATATGGCTTCGCGTTCACGAAGTGTTCGTGGAGGTAAAGCTACAGACTTTTGCATTCTGCGTTCGCGGAGTAGTGAGGCCAGTTGGCCTTCACGTCGCATGTTCTAGGTTGCATTTGCGCTGAAGCTTCTAGAGGTAGTGCTGGATTTTTCATCGCAATCACATGGGTTTGGCTATGGTCGTGTAGAGTATTTGATGTCACTGATTTGAGCTGTCAAATTTCGTGTTTTTAAGTGCTTTTTCACTATTTTGAGTTTTGCAGCTCGGAAAGAGACGACTTTTGGGTATGGATTTTACCCATATCTTGAGGGTAAGTTGTCACACCCCGACCTTGAGGAGTGCGACCGGCATTCGACAGGGTTACCTCGGCCAAGCAAGCATGCACAATGCCGTCTACCCAACTCACCGATGAATAAAGAGGAGAATACATTTCATTAATTAGACAGTAAGAGGTCATGTGAATAACACCAGTCCATTTTCCTCAATTACATCCTTAACAAGTCTCAAAACAGTACATCATACATTCGTAGTTAAAGTGGAACAAATGGTACAATTATGACAAGTTTAGTTTAACCTTCCCAAAATAGGATATAACTCACACTATGTCTACAGAGCCTCTAATAGAACCAAAAGAGTGTTAAGACACTGCCGGCACAATAAGGCCCCGGCTATACCTCAAAAGGCTATGTATAAAGGACAAGAGATACAGGACCCCAAAGGGAAGTGGGGCTCACCAAGTCAGCTGAGGATAGAGTATGCTGCTATCACGAGTCAACACCACCTGATATGAAACCACCTGTATCCATTTAAAGATGCAACGTCCCTGGTAAAAGGGACGTCAATACATATGGAATAGTACTAGTATGTATGAATAAAACCCATCTCAATAGAACGAGTAACAACAAACGGAGAAGGATACATGAAATTAATAAGAGACTTAAATAGTATTAGGGTGTCATTTTAGGGCAAGGTAAATTTCAAATTAAGTTTCAATCTTTTAAGTTGGGAGATCCTTAGCACCGATACACCGTCGTGTTTTTAGCACGGAGTCCGATCTCATCCGATTGGTTAAGCCGTCTCACCTCGAGACATCCACTCACAATACCACCATGTGCGCGGCATGGCGTCCGATCTCGGCCCGATCGGCTAAGCCGTCTCACCACAATGTTGTGTGGATCGACATCACATACAATCTTGCTAGCAATAATCACCTCCCATTCAAGGGGAAACATATCTACACATCAATATCAAGGGGAAACAACCTCATCACATTAACACGGGGATTTACTCCTCAATCACTCCTACACCGACACGTGTAGTTTCGGGGTTAGGTTATTTTGACCTTCCCTTCCTCGGTGACTAAACGCTACTCCCAAAGCATTATTTGTTTAAAGAGATTTTCCACACATTTGATGTTCTTTTACATATCATTCATTTCATTGGCACCAATGGCCATGACACAATATCATTCTTGATATGTTGGCCGCACATCATATTCCATGCTCTCTTCTTTCACTTTCAAATATCATCATGGATAATAAACAACAAGGTTTTCAAATTAAGACTGTAAACACACATTTGAGAAATTTAGGGTCTTATGCACATGTGATTTCTTACACAATTTTACATGATAGCTTTCATTAGATTCACATTGAACCATGATAGCTCTCAAACAATAACTCAACATTACAAGAACCTTTGGAATACACATTGAACGCATATTCATTTTGACACAAGGCTTATTCAGAAAAAAATCAATTTATGAAGAGGAATACGTGACTTACAAGGCCACATTGGGGTTCAATTCTAGGAGAGGAGTTTAGCCAACATACCTCGCTTTGTGCTCTCCTTAATTCACTACACAGTTCTAGAATCCTAGAAACTTTGATCTATTTAGAGATTTAGCAAAATTGAACACAAATTAGGAAAGAGTTCATGGTTCCAGCTCATTTGGGCATTTTATCAAACACTAGTTTGTCATTATGATTTCAAGGTCCTCCTATAGTGGATTCCTCTACTTCACTAACCAAAATCTACCAAATTGAGCTCAACAATATTCTCACAACCCTAGATAGTACATGTATGCATAACAAACAACTCCACACCCAAGAGTGGCTTGGCTTATTACCTAGTTTCAGTTAAATCTCAAAATTGAAGGCTAGGGAGTAAAATCTAACCTTTGGGTTGAAGACCTTGTGAGTTACCCTAGAGAAATCTTCAAGGTTTGAGTAAAGATTTATGAATAAATGACTTAGAAATTCTGTTTCTCACTCTGTGACCGGTCTGTGGTCCATAGACCAATTCTGCGATCGCATACTGTGCCGCAGAACATCCCTCCAAAAATTTTTATGTTGGACCCGCGATGGATTATGCGGCCCACGAAATAATTATGTAGTCGCATATTGGTCCTAAATTTTAGCTCAAGTTTATGCTTCACTGCGCGATAGGTCTATGGTCCACAGATCAGTTCTGCGATCGCAGAAATGCGCTACGCTTCCAAAAAATTTCTTCAACTCTTAAATGCACGGTTCAACCTAAAAAGTCCACAGATCTCTACATCATTAACACATACGTCCATCTCGGCACCACAGAACCCCGAGACTTGGTAAAATTTTACGGGCCTTACATAAATAATTTTTACTTTATTTTGATTCTGTATCATGAATATCCACGGAT